AGGTGCTGCGCTGCGTTTCCTAGCCCCACTTCTCAAACCTCCACTTGGCCTTGGGCCTGTAGCGATAGGACGAGAGCAAATGGCTTTAAACTGGAAGAGGGGACATTGAGATGAGATCTGAGGAAGACATTCTCGGCTGTGCAGGTGGTGAGCCCCTGGCGCAGGTTCCCCGAGAAGCTGTGGCTGCCCCATCCCTGGAGGTGTTCAAGGCCAGGTTGGATGGGGCTCTGAGCAACCTGGGCTGGTGGGAGGTGGCCCTGCCCAGGGCAGGGGGTGGCACTGGATGGGCTTTAAGGTCCCTTCCAGACCAAATCACTCCAGGACTCTGAAGAGCTGCTGGTTCCTACCCATCTGGCCGCCACATCAGCTTTTCTCACAACAAGGCTCTGGGCGCTCTCGCACCCTGACGGTTCGCCCCCGGTATCGACGGCTGCTTTGCTGCCACAGGGAGCACTCGTGCAGGAGCTTTGGGAGGCACATGGGCTCCTCCAGCCCCAACCCCGCTCCACGAACGGAGCAGTGTTCCCGCAGGACTTCAGTAGGTTCTGTTTTGCGTCCCCAGTGCTGTTTGGAGTCCAGACACTTTTGGAGGAAGAGCAGTCGTTTCTGGCTCCTGCGCCTCCTTCCCTGGGAGGCAACCAGTTGCTGCGAGTTTCCTTCAGTGCTCCCCGTGTTATGGCACAGGGTCTGGCTGGGATTTGCCCGTGTCTCTCTTCCAGGAGTCGTTAAGGGGGAAGAGCATGACAAGAACAGACAGTTCTGGCTGCAGGAGCCCAAAGCCACAAAGGCAGTGCGAGCGTCTGCTCCCGGTGGGAGGATCCGCGTGGAGCCATCCCGAACCACGGCCACAAAACACCCCAGGGGACGGGGACAAGTGCCACAAGCGCGGGGAGCAACGCCGCCAGCACCAGAACGGCCACAGGGCAACCCATGATCGGCCTTAACCAACCTGCTCCTCCAACACAGCCGGTTGGTTTAATTTTATTCTAACATGTGGTCTAAATAAAACGCGGATCAGACAGCAGCGCTGCCATCCAGCATAACAACCTGTTTCCACTCATTACATCTCCCCGCTGGAGAAGTCACCCTCCGCCTGAGCAGCCGCTTTCTGAGACGACGACGGGGCCCACCACGATACAGCAGCAGACGGGGGACACTGCCAGTGTCCCCAGCGCCGCCCTTCCAGTCGCTCCGCTCGGGGTAAGGAAACGGCTTTGCTTCACCGTTGGGATTTGACAAATGAACCGCCAAGTGATGCCGGAGCCCCTTAGCTCACTGCTGCTTTGTCTGCTGTCTTTATGGGCTCCTCCAGGACGCTCTCTTTCTCCCTTAGACTAATAATAGCCTGTAAAAAACCCAAGTCAGGAAACCCACAAGAGGATGAAACTAAAAATCAGGGCAGAGCGTCCTCCCCGTGGGCCGACCCAAGCTCCACAGGAACCTTTAGACATTTTGCTGGTGGAGGGAGCAAGCAGACGGCTGGAGAAGCAGCTCCAGAGAAGGGCTCCTGCCCTCCGACCGCCGGTGAGCGCCACCATTGCTGCCTCGGATGGGGCTTTAACCCCACCACCCCCGTTAACTTAAAGCACTTCAAAGCAAACGCAGGTACCGCTCTTGAGCCAGACCGTTTGCTGTGGGATGAGGGCACCGGCGCTCACAACGCCGGGGTTGTGCCACGGCAGACACGCTGCCGGAAGCTGGGCTGCAGGCTGAGGGGCACCGGTGCTGTTTCGAACACCAAATCCAGCGCAGGCAGCGCGGCCACGCGGCCGGCCGGGGTGGCCATGTGCGCTGCACCCGGAGCAGCTCCAGGAGGGTCGCTGTCTGCGGGAGGAGCGGCGCCATTTCCATCTTATTCACGGCCACAGCACCGACGGAGGCTGAAAAGAGAAGCCCTGGTCCTTCCTCCTACGGACCCGAGGTAGTCCGCAGGTGCAGGAGAGAAGAGCAACCGCTCAGTGCTCCCGCAGGAGCACTGGATGGAGCCGTACAGGGCACGGGCAGCGGCAGGAGAACCAGCACTCAGCACCAACCCAGCGTGACGCCCGCAAGAAGCCGCAGACCTGCGTACATCAACAGGACCCGATCACCGGTCCGGCAGCCCCACCGCCCCACGGGTGTCCTGGAGGGAGGGGGAAATCCCACAGCTCGCCTAAGGTGGGCTCTGCCTTCGCAGTGTCCCACCTCTCCCGGCACAACGGCTCTGCTGGAAACATCCAGAAGCTGACGGTGCTCGGCCAGTGGGCCAGCGCTGCACTCGCAGGCTCAGAGCGACACCGACCGATAGCCTGCACTGGACATGGACCCTGCGCGGGACGTGGACGCTGTGTGGGACGCGGACCCTGCACACCCAGACCTTGCAGGGGGGTGCAGCGGTCTCCTCTTCCTCTGTGGCCAGGGGAAGGTCTCACTTGCAGAGGCCCTTTCAGCATCGTCACTTTCTAAAGAGGAAGATTTTCCTAAAGAGGGAACATCTTTTACGACACCATTCTCTTAAATTCCAGAAGAGCCAGCCCCGGGGAGAGGCCAGGACCTGAGCACACCTTTTAAAGCGCTGCTGATCGCACCCTGCCAGGCCGGGCAGCCCAGGGGCTGTTGGTGAAGCACGTGGGTGGCGCAGCATCCCACTGCCCGCCCGGCACGTGCCCACTCGATGCAGCTATTCTTTACCCCGAGGGTGGTGAGCCCCTGGCGCAGGTTCCCCAAGAAGCTGTGGCTGCCCCATCCCTGGAGGTGTTCAAGGCCAGGTTGGATGGGGCTCTGGGCAACCTGGGCTGGGGGGACGTGTCCTTATCTTCCATAGAATCATCAGAACTCTAACAATTTTATGATTTGAAGGCTCTGGCCACAACCAGGCTGGGGGCACAGCCGCTGGAGAGCGGCTGTTTGGGACCCAAGTCCTCCCCCCAAGTCCCCTGGGTCTCCTCCTTGATGGCGAGGGACACCACGGACTGGAAGCACTGCAGGACGACAAGCCAGATGCGGTGGCTCAGCACCGTCCCCGG